TCGATACTTTTAAATAATGCGATTTTTCTTTATTAATTATTTATATGTAACATAGTAAATGGATAAACCCTAAAGGTAATTCTCTTCTCTTCCTGCTGAATAGAACCTGCTGAATAATAGGATTTGCACACAACTGCAAGCATTTTTCAGCAATAATTTTCCATGTGCAAATCCTATTATTCAGCAGGTTCTCTTCAGCATGATAGGCATAATTGCAAAGTTGATTCTATGTTCGGTCTTTATTCAGAGCAAAAGCTACCGCTCTTGGTAAATCTTTAAGTGTCAGATCTCTTGTGCTCTGCCTCGAGGATATAGGCTATTGCACGCATCTAACTACTTGGTCCCGAAACGTGAACGTATATCACAACAACTATCCTTATATAAAATTAAAAATAATTATTTAACAACTGAATACAACTATTATACGTAATGTTCAATCATGCACTCCTTACGTTGGAGGGCTCTAAACCCTAAACCCTCAAAGAAAGCTTGTCTTATCAATTCTTAGCTTACCATTTGGACCCCCAGGTTTTATTGGCTATGCTGTCAACATGATTAACCTGGATAATCCCAGTTACAGAATTGATTCCGGCCATGATTGCGGGAAACTATAGTCTACAGATTGTTTGGCATTGCGGATGAAATATTAAACAGTCTCGTAAGCCACAATCAAAATAGACTAAGAGAGTAAATTTTATTAATGTAGGGTTAATTTTGTATAAGTTACATACGATTTATAATTTTTTATGTGATATAATTATGTATGAGATGAGAAAAGTTAGCAATTGGTTGTTATACATGTTTACACAATAGGAGTCATGTTGATACTTACGATATATGGAGATCATTGTCATCACGTGCGGGACTGAATGTTCATTCCATTCCGTATTCGAAAAAATCAGTTGATGTAGGTTGTGTGCTTGTATTCAAACTGAGCTTCACTTGAGGATATGTTAGTTTATTATGTCCCTCACCGTTGCAGTATCCACATCGCCTAATTTTCTTCTTGACCTTGTTCTTCGGTACTTTTTTTCGCTTGCGTTGTTTTCGTTGAGGGTCACGAACGTTGTTTACTACAATGCTCTGTTTGACTGAATCATACAAACCAAACGAGTTTTCAAATTCTTCTATTAGTCTTTTCATCTCATCTCTTGCGGTTTTGAAAGACGCGTCTGTCTTTGATGCAATGTAGCATAACCTACTTGATGTTGAACGTAGAGAAGTGAACCTTGCCATTTGCATCACTTCTGGAGACACATTCAAGTCAATATAACTTGGTGCAGAATCCTTTGCATCCTTAGTCCACCTACTTTAAATCAAAGTCCCGGGAAAATATGTGTAATCCAAGTGCTTCAAAATGTGAAGTTAATGGCGACACAGAAGTCCAATGGTCTCGAATTTTTTGCAGGAGCAAATTAGGTTTTCGTGCGAGAATCAAAACTAATTTCAAATGTCCTATTTTTTTCTTTTTACTTTGACAAAATATAATGTTGACATTCATCTGATAAGGATTGAATCTCTTCCTCAATCCGGTACAATGTCTCCTGTAAAAGTTCATCTTGGAACGCACGAAAAGATTCGCGGGTAAAAATCTCAGCAACATGGCTTTCAAGGTCGACCAGTTTTGTGATATGGAAGGGCTTCATATGGGAACTTAAGTAATCCGCTTTCAACTCGTTCATACGCATTCTACTAATTTCATATTCAATTGCACGAACAATATCTAAATATGTATTCTTGTGTTTCAGTGCAATCGCTAGTGAATCATTCATAGACTCGCACCTTTGTGTTGAGCAAATATTGGCAAAGAAATGATCGGTTAGATATGCTTGTGCCCATAAGTGCTGAGTATTTCCCTTCTTAATCACCCATGGATGCTTTTCGACGTTGAATTCTGAAACAACCGAACGCTATTGAATATCAAATTCCTCGGTTGTCCACCAGGAAGCCATGCATCTTGAGAATGCTGCTGTAAATTTTGGGTCACCAATGTTAGCTTGTGCATTACGAGAAAGATGTCAAGAACATAATCTGTTCTTAGCATAAGGGATAACAAATTTGTTAGCCCTCTGCATTGCCCTATCCCCATCGATGACAACTGAAATAGGTGATTTATTCATCATGGCTTCTAAAAAAATTTTGTAGCACCCACTCGAAATATTGAGACGTCTCGTCAGCGATTATGGCAGTGGCAAACACAATTGTGTTATGGTGATGATTGACATCGACAATAGGCATAATTGGTCGACCATACAAATTATCTTTGTACATTGTGTCAAACGCAATTACATCACTAAAGTATGTGTAATCCGATCTCGATGTAGAATCCGACCAAATAATATTATGCAATGCCCCTGATTCGTCTACCGAGTATGTCATAAAAAACTCGGGATCATCATGTTTCTTATAATCAAAGTAGGTAATAAGCGCATTCACATCCCCATCGACAATTTCCTTTGCTTTACCTCTTTGAAGTGCATTGTAGAGATCTTTATGTGTAAATCCAACATTATGATAGCCCCCTTCATGCTACGTTAAATAGTTCATTACTTGTGACGTGTCAACACTGACCTCTTTCAATGTTGTTGCCTCATCAATATCGACCTTAGTTAAAGCTCTATTAGAACGCATAAATGGTGTCATAGCAGGTGTGCACAATGCATGATTATGTTTCTGATAAGACTTACTTATAACCCAATGATTGTTTGTATTTGTTGCTGTAACTACGACTCTAGCCATGCATCCTGTTCTTGTGACTGGCGTATGAGCACGTTGACGATCAACAGTATTGACTTTTGATACTCGAAACCCTTCTTTGGAACAACAAAATTCTTGTGTCTTCACATTCCCTTCCACGTCAAGCCGTGTTGTTCCCTTAAGTGCACTAAACCCATGTTCCCGTGCGAATCCCTTGTAAAAGTACCAAGCTTCATCACATGAAGAGAAGAGCTGACCAACCAATCTATCAGATTCATCAACATTATGTACTTCATGGCATTCCTCGGTTGGCTTAACATTGTCTGCATCAGTATGATCCATGGCAAAAATTTTGTTGTGCAAGTTCAGTGGTCCCGGAGTTGATGGAGATGTAAGCAAAGGTTCATTGAACATGTTTCAGTCGTGCTTTCAATAGGATGTGGTATTGGTATTGGTAGTTAAAGGGTGGATACAACATTAAATTCACAGTACATATTTAGGTATGTACAATAGCTACCTAAAACATCAAAACCAATAATTATAATGTAATAGGTAAATTAACAATGTAATCGGTATAAATATACCGGTTAATTAGAAAACAAGTCAACATAATGTATCGACACTTGTGGAATTTGTGTCGATACTTATTGTCCAGAATGAATACCCAAACGGGGTGCACGCATAAAGTGTCGATACATTTATTAAAAGTATCGATCCCAAAAATATCGAAACCGATAATTATAATGTAATAGGTAAATTTACAATGTAACCGATATAAATATACTTGTTTTATGAGAAAATAGGTCAACATAAAGTAACGACACTTGTTAAATTTGTGTCGATAAATTTTGTCCATAATGAATGCCCAACGACGTGCAAGAATAAAGTGTCAATACATTTAAAATTGTATCGATCCCAAAAACATCGAAACGAAAATTACAATGTGATAGGTAAATTTACAATGTACCCGATATAAATATACCGATTTTATGAGAAAATAGGTCTAAATAATGCATCGACACGTTTTTAGTTTGTGTCAATACTTTTTTTTCAGAATGAAATATGAATGTCCAACGAGGTGCAAGCATAAAGTGTCGATACATTTAAAATTGTATCGATCCAAAAAACATCGAAACCAATAATTATAATATAATATGTAAATTTGCAATGTTACCGGTATAAATATACCGATTTACTTCGAAAATAGGTCAATATAAGCGCTACCTATTACATTATATAAGAGATACCTAATATGTTATTGTACTTGATAAAATTCCCGGTTAAATGCATATTTTATTATATAAGCGTTACCTAATATGTTATTATACTTGATAATATTTCCGGTTAAATGATATAACATAACCAGTCACACCATTTTTTAGCCGATTTTTAGCCGCCGCACAGCAAAACTCCCCCAAATCCTGCCTTGATGGTCAGCAAGTGAATTGCTGCATTATTCAACAAGGTCAACACATTTGTTGCTCAAATGATAGTTTAGTTATTCAAATCCAAGCTGGCTAGCTATTCGGCAGATTTGTTATTCAGACCCAGGCAGATATTACCATAGTATCTAAATCTAACGTGGTTAGTAATTTTGAAATAGTAAGCAAGTGGGTATTAAGTGGATCAAGATGTGGGGAAAATTAATATTATGATCCTTCAAGAAGCCACATATATCAGCACCGACCATCGGAATCCCAAACAGTCTGGATTCCTTCTTTGTTGATCTTGTGAGGAGGAGCATCAATGGAGGAATTCGGCTTGTCTAATACTCTTAAAAATGAGCGAGTAATTAAATTTATTTAAATAAAAGATTTTATGGAATAAAATTAATTGATTTTATGATTATATTAGGTGAATATAAAGGTTATATGATCAGGTGGTGTGGTTATGCTTATAATTTTTATTAATTTCATTTTTGAAATTTATAAATTTTTTATTAAAAATGTAATTTATTAAAAGTAAGTACTTTTATTCTTCAGTTAAATTGTTATTTTAATAAATAATCAATTTTATAAATAATTGTTTTTAAAAAAATATATATTTGAGTAATAAAGCAGGTGCAAAGCCAATCTTTTATACCGATTCAATTAATGAGCAGACCAGACCAGTCCAGTCCAGTCCAGTCCAGTCCAGTCCAATCTAATCCAATCCTGTTAGACGATAATAGGGTTTGTTAAATGTAATTTAATCCGAAAAAAGAAATTGTAAGTATTTTCGAAACCAATTTTGTTCTGTTTTGCAAATTACAGGAGAATAATATCTGTCTGGATGTCCCATTCCATTCAACTATTAAAAGCAAAGCGTTAATTAGGCAACACAGTTCATCCCCTTCCAGCGTTCACTCCCGTCCATACATTCCCCATCAAAAAGCAAAGCAACCCACTCTCTTCGATCCCCCATCACCTCATTTTCCCACGAAAACGAACAGAAATATCTAAACCCTTGTGAAGGAAAACATGAGAGAAATCTTGCATATCCAAGGAGGTCAATGTGGGAACCAGATCGGGGCTAAGTTCTGGGAAGTCATATGCGACGAGCACGGAATCGACAACACCGGCAAGTATAACGGCGACTCAGATCTTCAGCTGGAGCGGATCAATGTCTACTACAATGAAGCCAGTGGCGGTAGGTATGTCCCTCGCGCTGTTCTCATGGATCTGGAACCCGGTACTATGGACTCCGTCAGATCTGGTCCTTTTGGCCAGATCTTTCGTCCCGATAACTTCGTCTTCGGTCAGTCTGGTGCTGGGAACAACTGGGCCAAGGGTCATTACACCGAGGGAGCTGAACTCATTGATTCCGTTCTTGACGTCGTAAGAAAAGAAGCTGAGAACTGTGATTGTTTACAGGGTATCTATCATCCCTGTAACTTTTTACATTTTCTTTTTATGTGCTTGTTTTATTCGTTTTCCCCCTTAAATTTCTATTGTATTTGTCCTCAATTTCGGCTTTCTGAAATTGGGTTTGTTCTTGATCTTGGGTTCATTGTGCCGATAACATTTTTAGTGCAGATTATACCTATGGAACACTACATATTGAAGTAAAATTGTGATATTTAAGTAGGTATTGTTAAGGCGTTAAATCCATATGATGATTTCTTTCACTGCCTTGTGTTTGAGGAATTGAAATTTATTTACACCTGTCTTGCTTTGAAGTTTTTGTGGTTGCAATATGGTTTGATTTTGCTTTTAGTCTTTGTACAATTGCCATGAAACAAAAATATGTTGCAAGCTTGTCTTTTTAATTCAGTTTAACTTGATTACCCAGCCCTTTTATTTATGTTTTATGTAAGGATGTTTAATATCAATAATGTCTATCATTGATATCATTGGCTCGGCTTCGTAGTTCCTATTATCTTAAGCTTTGAACTGTTCTTGCTTCAGAGCTTTTGTTACCAATAGCTGGTCTCAGAAAGCTCACCTGAAAAGGAAAAGAAAAAAAGAATATATGCCTTCAATTCTCACTTTTAAGTGTCTTTTGGACAGGATTTCAAGTTTGTCATTCGTTGGGAGGAGGTACCGGATCTGGAATGGGAACCCTTCTGATTTCCAAGATTAGGGAGGAGTATCCGGATCGCATGATGTTGACTTTTTCGGTATTCCCTTCTCCTAAGGTGTCTGATACAGTTGTTGAACCATACAATGCTACCCTTTCTGTTCATCAGCTTGTTGAGAATGCTGATGAATGCATGGTGTTGGACAATGAAGCTCTCTATGACATCTGCTTCCGCACCCTCAAGCTGGCCACGCCAACTTGTAAGTTCTGATGTTTCATTATAAATTCCTAGTTTTATTTGCCTAACTAACTGCCATGGAATCAATATCCCAAATCCAAGTGTATATAATCTGCCTGCCATCTGATTCTTCTTTTAACTTGACTCAGTTGGTGATCTTAACCACCTCATCTCTGCTACCATGAGTGGTGTCACATGCTGTCTAAGGTTTCCTGGACAGCTGAACTCTGATCTTCGTAAGCTGGCTGTCAATCTTATTCCCTTCCCTCGACTACACTTCTTCATGGTTGGATTTGCACCCCTGACATCCAGAGGATCACAGCAGTACCGGAACCTGACTGTCCCCGAGCTGACTCAGCAGATGTGGGATGCCAAAAACATGATGTGTGCTGCTGACCCACGCCATGGCCGATACCTTACTGCTTCTGCAATGTTCCGGGGTAAGATGAGCACTAAGGAGGTTGATGAACAAATGATCAATGTCCAGAATAAGAATTCATCATACTTTGTTGAGTGGATTCCTAACAACGTGAAGTCTAGCGTGTGCGACATCCCACCTAAGGGTCTGAAACTGGCATCCACTTTCATCGGAAATTCAACTTCCATTCAGGAGATGTTTAGGAGGGTTAGCGAGCAGTTTACTGCAATGTTCAGGAGGAAAGCTTTTTTGCATTGGTACACTGGTGAGGGAATGGATGAGATGGAGTTTACTGAAGCAGAGAGTAACATGAATGATTTAGTTGCAGAGTATCAGCAATACCAGGATGCAACTGCAGACGACGAGTACGAGGAAGTAGAGGAAGAAGAAGAGGATTTTAATGCTTGAGTTATTAATGATATGTATAACTCGGTTGCGAGATGTTTATGTTGTCAAACTTTAGTTGACATAACATAATATATGTGATTGTTGTGAGTTCTACGTTGTATCTTTGATGGATTGAGTTCTTGTGACTCTACATTTGCTTCTACAGCTTTTGATGAATGATAAGACTTGAATTAATATTATTTGTCTACTATTATTTTGAGAAATAAGATTGTCTTGTTTTAGGTCAAGAATTGGATAATTTTGTTTATTCTGCCTGTAAATTATAAAAATACTACTGAAAAGACTTGAAAGTATATTACCAGTAAAATCATGTTTGAACCAAGTAAAAGTTCTATATTTTTTCCATGCAACTACTGTGGAAACAAATGCTCGGGTAGTCGGGATGCAATGAACGAATAACTAAAGAGAAAGAACACACTTAAACACCATTAAACTTGCTACAGAACAGCCTAAATGAAAATAGTCATGTACTGGTTAGTCCTGGAAAACCTGAAGCCGATTCCTTCTCGATGAAACATTGTTTGGTTAAGCATTGTACATTGTTTGGTAAAGCATTGTATCTATCGTTCATACAAAATGATACTAGCTGTTGAGTTATATTCTCCATATGATGCGTAGAATGACCAAGATGCCGATAAATTATGTTGGAATTCAGATTTTCATCACCGAACTCCTCGTACTTGTCAAACCCATCACGAGAGCTCTTCTGCAGATATTTTCTTCCACACTGAGATTCTTCATTCTCTTCTTCAACAATGTCTGCCCAGGTTTTCTTATTTGGTGCAGCATTTTCCGGTTTTTCCACTCCAATTTCTGATTCATTTTTAGAAGAAACCGACGGTTTTACATCAAGAATTTGCAGTGAATGAGTAGTCACACCGCTTGATTGCTTGCTAAATGAATTGCCAACTGATTCTTCAGCCCGTCTTCACCTTGTTTGATCTCTATTATTCTGCCACGACGAAGAGTTTCTTGGCTGAGTGAATAAACCTTCTTGAGCCTCCTCTTCCTCCTCTAGGCCAACTGGAGAGTTTTTGGGCTTCACATTTCTTGAAGAAGGGGGTTCTTTAAGATTCTGGATTGAAGGTGACGTCACACTTTCAGTGGTTACAGTTTGCTCGAAACATAGCTTTCGAATTGAATTTCAACTGTATCTTCTCCCCATCTTTCTCCTCTCCTCTGATCTGGAGTTAAACCCCACGAACATCGTCTTGGTTGGGTTAACGGAACTTCTGAGTTCTTCCTACCAGCTGCTAAGGAAGCATACATATTCTTATGTGAAGGATCGACTTCTTGTCTGGTTGAATACCTACAACCTTCCAGCTTGCTGGAATACACTTACCCTTCAATCGGGCTTACGAAATACGAGCCTTTTCTCCACTTCCAGGCTATTGAAGCTCTTGATCCGAACTATCAATACTCAGAGTACTGGAATCACAAGACTAGTAGCAATAACAACAAAGTTAAAATGAATAAAGATTTAGATTGAGTTGGCCAGTAGGGTAGGGGAGAAACGAAAGTGAAAGCTTTTGGTGTTGAATTGAGAAAATAGGTAGGGGATTATGTGAACCAGCATCGAGTTGGTGAAGAGAAGAGGTAGACAGGTAGTACTAAGAAATGCGTAGTGAAGCACAAAGTGCTGGATGGAGAGTGGCATGTCATGGATATCCTTGAAGCGTGTACATAGGTCGAAGATTCGGAGACTCGGTTGAATATTGTGGAAATTTAACAGCTTTAGCTAGTAAATAAGGGTGAAAAGGGTGCGGGTGCTAAAATCTTAGTGCTATTACTCCGTAGCTTTATTTTTTTGTTTTTCAGCTTTCAGGCTCATTCTTTCACAAATCCTTTAGAGGAAGAAACCGGCTTCATATGCTTGAACCCTGAATCATATTATGTGCCACTCATGCAAAGTCACGCCCACTGTCAATGCCCACCAAATTATCATAGATAAGCTTTGGTAATTTTAGATGTTATATGAATTAGCAATATCATTAATAGATAAACACAACATGGTGTGTTAAATTAAGGAAGATTTTGATCTGATACTATCTTATAATCACTTAAACTATTTAAAAATGCGACACGCGTATTTAAATAAATTAGTTGTTATGCAAATAGTAGTAATACTTTGGAAGTAGATTGGTCGAAAAGCAGGTAACCTGTAATTAATTATTTAAGCTTTAAATTTTGTGTGTAACTTTAAAATCACGTTTAGATCAAAATTTGTGTGTAACTTTAAAATCAATCTTATTCATCATTTAAGCTTTTTTTATATATATAAAAAATAATAGCAACACTAATTTAATAAACTAAAGGATTAATAGAAAAATAAGTGTTTGAATTTTATCTCGAAAAACGTTTTGGTGTCTATAGAAATTTTCGTTAAAAAATAGCTCTTAATTTTTTTCAGTTATACTTTTAGGTGTTTACTGTTATTTTTTTATTAATAAAATATTATTTTTTTAATTTAAAAAATTAAAAACTAAAGAAACTTAATTTATTTATTAAAAAACTTAAATTTTTACTGAAATTATAAAAAAAACTCTAAGAAACTAAAATCTCTCATTTCAACTTGTTACCAACCGTCGTCACATCTCTGACCATTATCGTCATCGCCGAACGATCATCCACCCGTCGCATTCCACCCATTAATCAATTGTTGCCCTTACCGTCACCCAGATCTCCTAAATCTCTAAAATCCCAAATACCCAAATAATTAAACCTTTAAAACTTAATCTCCACGATGAATGCCGAAAGAGCATTGATGGATCGACAACAATGATGGGTTTTGAGCAGAATTGCATAGTGGTTCGAATGGTGGTGACAGTGTGGCTTATGAACGTTGGGACGATGGCTTAAAATCTAATGAACATTTAGATGCTTCTCCATAGTAAACGATTACATCTTACGACGAAAGGTCAACAGAGATTTGATCGGGGGTTGACACCGGTGCTAATGACAGTGACAATGACGGTCATGGTTGGTCAGACAACAATCTTGAAAGGGGGAAGAAAAAGGAGAAAAGAGAAGGGGTTTTGTTGTTTTTTTTTAATAAAAAATATTTTTACTTTTTATTTTTAAAAATAAATTCTCAAATTTACTAGAGATTAACACGTATAATTTAAAGGCTAAATTTAACAGTAGACATCTAAACGTATAACAAAAAAAATGTTAGACACCTATTTTAGTGAAATTTTTTAAACACTAAAATATTTTTAGAGGTAAAGTTTATACATTTATTTTTCTATTAAGCCTAAACTAAAAATTAAATATATTAACGAAGCACCCGATTAAAATTTGACACATGCTTTAATTTCTTAAATCTAAAAAAAATACTTTACGATATAGGTTTGTTATACAAATTGGTATCTGAATTTAATATTTCTTTCAAATTGATATTTGGAGTTGATATGATATTTCAACTATCAATAATCTATGATATGTGATGTTTAAAGACGTTGTCATTTTAATTAGTCAATAACACATAAAAAATATAATATGTTGTTTAAATGCCAAATCAACATAGGTATCAATTTGAAAAATATTTTTAATTTAAACATCAATTTAAGAGAAAAAAATGTGAAATTCATGTACCAAATTGTATAAAAAATTTTATAAGAGAGGGTTTTTTAACATATCGGGTCGGTTAGTGTTGGGTATCCAATTATAAAGAAATAGTGGGGGTGTATATATAAGACGTTTGGTTGGAATTCATATCTTGGTCCTTATTATCTGTTCTCGAGCGCTTTGAAAAAGAAGATGCAGGTAAAGTCTCCCCCACCAAAACCCTAATTCCCTTTCTTGATTAATTTTAAAAATTCAACCAAATTTCTAATTCCCCAAACCTCTAAACCCTATATTTGGTTTATATGTTTGTCTCTTACTCTTTCATAAATTTTGCCAGGCAAGCGATAGGTTTAACATCAATTCCCAGCTCGAACATCTCCAAGCCAAATACGTCGGAACTGGCCATGCTGACCTGAACAGATTGTTAGTTTATAATACTCTCTTCTCTTCTATTAACTGAACAAAAGAATTGTCACTGATAATATATATATTTCCTTGGTTCAATTGATGGCAGTGAATGGGCGGTGAACATTCAACGAGATAGCTACGCATCATATATAGGGCATTACCCAATGTTGGCTTACTTTGCTGTGGCTGAAAATGAATCCATTGGAAGAGAGCGCTACAACTTCATGCAGGTAAACCTTATTCTTTTTTTAAGTTTGGTGTTTTTGGATTTATGATATTCGTGTTTCTTTGCTTGCCTGGCCCTGGCGGTTGTATATTGTGTGATATCGGAATGTAGAGGCATCGAGGCTTTTCCTTTTTTTTATACCTTGGGATTTCTCTAACCTTTTCGAGTTTCAAAATGGTTTTCTTTGTATTCCATAAGACCAATTGCTCTTTACTGCTTGAAAAGAGTTGAAAGCTTGCCTTACAATGAACAAAATGATTTCTTTTTGTGTTTTGTTGATTGGAGAATTTAGGGTAGTTCTATTTCTACCTGTTGGGGGTATGCCTAGAGGAGATTACACACATTTTTCCAATGCCAATTTTCCCAGACGTGCTAACAAATGTACGAAGTGCATCCTATGCCATATATGGGGCTCTTGGATACATTCTGTACCTATTAATGGCTTTTTTTCAATGGTATCCGCCTGTTTATTTAAATCAAAACTGCTGAATATTCAGTCTCTTTTAGGTTGTCGGTCCTGTGCTCCATTCAGTCTCTGTTGTAAGAACGAGTCTTGATTTATATCATCTTACTAAATGACGAACTGAAATTTAATATCTTGGTTGGCTAAATGATTCTCAAGGTATAATTGTTTGTCATCTTAATTGTGCAAAATGCTTCTGCCTTGTGGTCTGCCTCCAGAAAGAGAAGACGATTAAAAGCTGCAGCTCGGGCTATGAAGTGAAATGCTAGGAGGTCCAAGCTTATCCATCAGGCAAGTAATATCCATCTATATGTGTTTATTTTTAACTTGAAGCATGAAGTGTTGTAACCTCGACTTTATCTAGCAAGCTTTGTTGAATTCTAGCAACTATTTAATTCTTAAAACGTCCCTGCTCATCTTGCTGATTCTGGGTTTGCAGGTATAAAATATTTTTAACTTTTTTGGTTGTGTAGTCTCTGGGTTCGTTTGTTTCAGTGTTTGCATGGGCTGTGTACACGAATTTGGT